AAAAAAAAAAAAAAGATTTTTTTTATTTTTAAGTTGGTAAAGAATTTCGATGTGACCGGAGGAAAACGTTGTTCAAATGATTTTCTGCATATCCTAGTTTTTTTTTGGTTTTTAATACTTTTTATGTTTCTTTGTTTTTGCTAGGACCTTCCCTGGTCCTTGCACTGCTGGGCCGCCCGGGAAAATAGGGTGACCCGGGCGGCCCGGATGGTAGCCCAGAATCTAACCCATTTAGTCTTGCAAATCGAATATATCCATTCAATCCGCATATCTGATCTGTTGATTTGGTCCGTAATAAATCCGATATGTCGATCTGATTTGAAACAGATTGTTAAATTCAGCATACTGCTTTGATTTCTGAATTAAATATATCCGTGTGCTCCAATTTGCTGATCTAGTTGTTTTTTTTTTTTTTTTTTTTTTTTAACATCTATGTTGGGGAGTAGAGGACGTGCTGATAAGAGCAGACACTCCCTCTACTCCCCTAGATGGATAGATGGCTCGGTTCCATTGGTGGGGAGCTGCACCTGCTGGAAACCAGGTCCAGCGTTCACGTATCCGATCCGCAAATCCTGACCACTAATCTGATCCACAAATCCTGACTCCTAATCTGATCCGCAAATTCAGACAACCAATGAATCAGATCCCATTTGCAAATCCAATCTTCGCTGAAAATTTTTAAGCAAAATAGACTGGAGCTTAAAAAAAAAAAAAAAAAAAAAAAAAAAAAAAAGCAAATTCAATCTGCCTATTTGACGCGCAATTTCATTCTTAAGATGCGATTCAGGCTGAAAATTTTTATCCAATATGTCAATCCACTTGGATTAATTTACCACCTGACTCAACAGTAATCAATGTTAATTGCTAGATAATTTGGATCTCAATCCGTGCGAGTCTGTGAGGAAGGAGGGGGAGGAGAGGGAGGATTGGAGATGCAACCTTAAAGTTTCAAAGCCACTATTCCAAGGCTATGATGCCCCAATAGCGAATGTCACATCCTCAGGACTGAGTAGCTTTTCTGCAATTTTTTGGAACCTTTTTTTTTTTTTTTTTTTTCCTGTAACCGTTCAAAACGTTTTCTTGTTTCGATGAAGAACAGTGAATTTGCCAATCCGGAACAATTCGAATGGACTCGGGGGACTGGATACATTTGCTTGGATTCTCCGTTGTAGACTATTAGCTCCAAAATTAATGGTCACAGTGGAAAATCAGTGGAAGTGGGACTTGGCACTGGACAACTTGAAAAGGGCTCAAGAATTATACGTGGTTACGTTGCTTTCCTTCCTTTCTTGCAAGTTTTTGGAGGTTGAGGGTAACCTCTCTTTTTTTTTTTTTTTTTTTGGCAGAAACGATCCCCGGAGTTAGCTTGAGGTGCTGGTAGGAGCAGACAACCTCTCTTACCACCGCCAGGATAGAGGGATATCGCAAGGGATATTCTCTTAAAAAAAAAAAAAAAAAAAAAAAAAAGGAGGTTGAGGGTAACCTACTAGCGTAACATATTTCAGTTTAAAACTTTAAATGAATGATGATCAGAGACTGGGCTACCAGCCGTGCCGCACCGGTCACCTTGTTTGACTGGGTGTCCCCACGGTGCAAGGAGCAAGGAAGGGTCCAGCACAAAAAAAAAAAACAAAAAAAAAAAAAACAAAAAAAACTACATGATGCTTAAAAATCAACTGGACAACTTTT